GCTTGATTCCCTGCTTCCCGGACCTGTTTTCCTCCCTCTCTTTCAATAAATGGCAGTTCTCCTCTAAATACCATCCCTTCTATCTCCCCAAATACACTTTGACTCTGTAAACTTGTTTTCATCTCCACTAACACTCTCCTCCAGAAGAACAAACAAATCTGCCCTGGAAGAAATGCAGCCAGAATGCTCCTTAGAAGCTAGAATAGCCAGACTTCATCTCGACTACTTTGATCATGTTGTCTGAAGGGATCACTCCCTAGAGAAGGATATCATGTTTGGTAGAGGGTGAGCAAAAAAGGGGAAGACCCTCAACAAGACAGATTGAAACAGTGGCTGTAATGATGGACTCAATATAGCAAGGGTTGTGAGGATGGCACAGGACCTGGCAGGGTTTTGTTCTGTTGTATAGAGGGTCGCCATGAGTTGGAGCTGACTCGACAGCACCTAACAACAACACTCTCCTGAGACACCATTCGGCATCTCTTTTCTGGACTACTATAATGGGCTTCTAATGGGTGAGAGTCATATTTTTTAAATGGGGATCCAATCAGGTCATATATCTGTTTAAATGGAATGCATTAAGTGCTGTAATGGAAATTGACAAAATGATTCTAAAATTCTTCTGAAAGAATAAAGGACCAAGAATATTCCAGACAAATCTGAAGAGGGAAGCAAGAAATAAAGGAAGGAAGAGTAGTGACTTTACTAGTTATCAAGACCTACTGTTAAGCTATAGTAATTAGAAAAGTATGACATTGGTGCAGGAATAGACAAATGGAATAATAGAAGACTAAAGAGCCTAGTATATAAGGGAACTTGGTCCATAACAGAGATAGCATTACTATCTATAGATTCTGGGAAAATTGGCTATAGGTAAGAAAAAAAAAAAATGAGGAAGCTCTGGTGGCATAGTGCTTAAGGCATTTGACTGTTAACCAGAAGACTGGCAGTTCAAACCCACCAGCCACTCCTTGGAAGGAAGATTGGGCAATCTACTTCTATAGACACCCCACCTCAGAAACCCAAGGAGAGATTGCTATGAGTCGAATCAACTGGACAGCAGCAAGTTTGGTTTTTTGGTTTTGAAGAAAAAAAATGCAATTATATCCATTTGCATATCATATTTTTTAAAACGCACGACAGAGTAGACTTAATGTGAAAAGCAAAACTGCAAACTTTTTAGAAAAAAATATAGACATGTCTATTACATCAGTGTAGGGAAGACTTTCTTAAACAAGACACAGAAAGCACAATTCATAGGGAAAAACAAATGTCACTACCTAATGGTGAAATTTTCTGTGCAATAAAAGATAATATAAACATTTATTGGAATTTATATATGATAAATATAACAAAAAAAAAGGTCCACCAAGATTATCCCTTTGGACATTAAAAAAAAAAAAAAAAAGTAACATTTGTTACATGGGCAGAAAATTCCAGTAGTACAGAAAAGTACAGATTAAGAGTGAAAGCCTCTTTCCTCAGGCTCTCTCTCCCTGAAGGTGACTACTGTAATTTCTTTCAGATTTTTATAATGCATATATCAGTAAGTTCATTTAATTGAAAAATAACCATGTTTTATTGGTCAATAAAAAAAAAGTAAACTGCCAAATAATGTATACACTTTTTTTCCCCCTAAGTTATCTATATGTAAGTTTCGAACAGCTAAGGGACACAAACTTGTCTGTTTGTCATACTGTGGTGGCTTGCGTGTTGCTGTGATGCTTGAGGCTGTGCCACCAGTGTTTCAAATACCAGAAGGATTCCACACGGTACACAGGTTTCAACACAGCTTACAGATTGGGACAGACTAGGAAGAAGGAAGAGGGCATCCACTTCTCAAGGAATTATCCAGGGGCAGATGAGGTATAGCATTGGGCAAGTCGGCTGCAAAGCACCTCTTTCAAGTGCTGAGGAGCAAAGATGTCTCCTTGAGGACTAAAGTGTGCCTGACACAAGCCATGCAATCGCCTCATATGAATGTGAGAGCTGGCCAATAAATAAGGAAGACCGAAGAAGAATGGATCCTTTTAAGTTGTAGCACTGGCGAAGAATGGTGAAAGTGCCATGACTGCTAAAAGAACTAAAAAATCTGCCCTGGAGGAAGTGCAGCCAGAATGCTCCTTGGAAGCAAGAATGGCCAGACTTCATCTCACCTACTTTGGTCATGTTATCAGAAGTGACCATTCCCTGAAGAAGGATTCCATGCTTGGTAAGGTGGAGGTTGGACAAAAGAGGGGAAGGCCCTCAAGGAGATGAATTGACACAGTGGCTGTGGTGATGGGCTCAAGTATAGCACAGGACTGGGCGGTGTTTCGTTCTGCTGTGCATAGGGTCGCTATGAGTCGGAAACAACTCGACCGCACCTAACAACCACAACAAGTTATCTGTATGGACATATTTGTATAAGCAGTGGAAAAAATAATGAATATTCAGTATACATTAGATGCTTTTGTACTATTTGAATTGTCAGAGTGAGCACAATTAAATGTATTGCTCAGACTCATGAAATAGAAACAAGCAAAAAAAAAAATCTGTGGTATATAATTGTAGCTGAAGAACAGAAATGGTATGTGCAAAAAAAAAAAATCAAATTGATCAATTTAAGAAAAAAAAAAAAAAGCAAGAAAGACAAGTGTATCAAGCCAATAAAGCTTTCTCTTAGCTTACCTATAAAACAAAGAAGTTCAATGTAATTTGGAAAAGAAAAACTAAACCTGAAATATCTTTATCAATTATTTACACACACACCAAACTATTATCTTTGGTTACCTCAAGATAGGATTTGGAGAGAGGAAGGAGATATTAACCCCAAAAAAGGAAACCAGCCAAGAGTTGGTGGGTTCCAACCACTAACTTTTCATCTAGCAGCTGAGTGCTTTAACCAGTGCACCATGAGGGCTCCTCTAAAGAGAGATTAAAAAACAAACCCTCTGCCATAGAGTTGATTCAGAAGTAGATTGCCCCATCTTCCTTTCAGAAGAGCTGGTGGGTTTTGAACCACCAACTTTCTGGTTAGCAGTCAAATGCCTTAGGCACTGCACCACCAGAGCTCCTAAGGGAAGTTAGTAATATCTTTCTTTACCTGTGTAATGTTTCTTACTAGTATGAACTAATTTTAAGATATTAATACTTCGTAAATAAAATTACAAATAACACCAAGTTATTTCATATCTCATGATGAAATTACTAGAGGAAGCAAGAAAGGTAACTTTTTGTTACGGTTAAAGCACAGGCTTTAACTCAGGAATCAGAGTCCTGAGCTAAAAAATCCTGACTGCATCACTTTACCAGTTTTGTGACTTTAAGCAAGAATCTAAACCTAATTTTACCCATCTGTTAATATCATCTACTTCATAGGCTTGTTATAGGGATTAAATAATATAGGTAAAGCACTTAACACAGGACCTGATTTAATTATGTGTTGTTGCTGTTATGCGCCATGGAGTCGGACCCGACCATAGAGACCCCTCCTTGGGTTTCCGAGGAGGTATCACTCCGGAAGTAGATTGCCCAACCGTCATCCGGAGGAGTGGCTGTTGGGTTTGAACTTCCAGTCTTCTGGTTAGCAGTCAAGTGACTTAGGCACTACGCCACCGGAGCTCTACATGTTGTTGTTGTTGTTGTTATGTGCCGTCGAGTCGGACTCGACTCATAGCGACCCCTCCTTGGGTTTCCGAGGCAGTATCACTACGGAAGTAGATTGCCCCATCGTCCTTCCGAGGAGTTGCTGGTGGATTTGAACCACCAGCCTTCTGGTTAGCAGTCAAGTGCCTTTAGCCACTATGCTACCAGAGCTCTACATAGCGAACTTTTAAAAAAAAAAAAAACTGTTGCCATTGAGTCGATTCTGACTCACAGCAACCCTGTTGGGCAGAGTAGAACTGCCTCAGAGGGTTTCTAAGGCTGTAAATCTTTAAGGAAACAGACTACCACATCTTTCACCTGCAGAGCCACTGGTGGGTTCGAATCGCTGACATTTTGAGTGGCAGCTGAGAGCTTAAAACCGCGCCACCAGGGTTCCTATAGTGAATTTGGGGAGGATAAAAGTTGAATGAAGCAGCACTGGTGGTGTAGTGGGTAAGGCATTTGGCTCCCAACCTCCAGATGGGTGGTTCAAACCCACCAGTTGCTCCACGGAAGATGAGGCAATCTACTTTTATAATGACTGACAGCCTTGGAAACCCAATGGGGGTCACTATGAGTTGGAATGACTTTTCCAACATTTTTACTCCTTTGACACTCAGCAAGCTGTGTGGGTCAGACCCGGGTCAAAGGTGAGGTCAGCAGTAGCTCAGCCAGTTTCACGTCTAGGAGTAGGTGGAGGCTTGGGGTGCGGACCCACGCTGCTTGAGAGATCAGACTCCTCCGGGCCACTATTGCTTTCACATCAGCCCCTTTCTGAGTCTTTCTTAAAGGGAAGCTACTCGGCCAGACGGATCCGAGGGATGGCCACGGTCTCAAAGGAGAGACTGGACAAAAAAAGGGGCTGATGAACGAACGCCTTTTTTATTTTTCATTTCCCCCCAACTAGTAAAAGCTCTCCTGGGTAGGAAGTCTCAGAACCTGTCTAAATTAACGCCTTTCGTGCTTCCCCAATAGCTTCCTCTACCTCCAATGCTCTTCTCAGCATTTCCCTTCTTCCCCCAATGCCTCTCTTCGGGCTCAGTTTCCCTCCACTGGTTCAGAATCCTCTCCTTTACCCAGTTCCGTGTGCGCTGCCTCAGTTTCCTGTTAATTCGGTTTCCTCTTTTAATCTTGTTTCTCCTTCTTTACTTCAGAGTCTCTTTCTCTCCTTCAATTCCTCGCCCTCTGGCCCAGTCCCTCCAGTTTCCTCAGTTCCTCCACCTCCATCCCAGTGTGACCCTTCCACCTCAATGACCCTGTCTTCCGCCTCAGGGACCGCTTCTCCGCCTCGGTTTTCCCGCCTCCACCTTCGTTTTCTCCCCTCAACCTCAGACCTCGCGGCCTGGGACTAGACCCTCCTTGCCCAACCCTACCCGGCTGCTCCAGGGCCAGCGCCCCCAAGCGGCGGACGACCTCCTCGTCCAGATCCCACTGTTCCGCCATCTCA